CGTTATTATATATGTTATATGGGCAAGTAACTTTACTTGCTTTGTGGAAATATTATTTTGTATCCTCTATAAGGAGGAGAGCACTACCGAGTGTAAGTATATGCTATCAACCAAAATGGTTGCTATATTTTTAATATAATATTATGAGATTGCACAGTATCAAATCATTTTAGGAGATAATAAATAAAGTTGAAAGCATGGTTGATTGTGGATCACTCTTCAATTATTCTAAAAGTTTGAAATGTTTGATCGACGGATTCTAATATTGAAGGGGGAAAATTTTTTTTTCTTGTCTTTTTTCAGGTCGGAAACCTAGTTTTAGTGATTCATAGACATTAAAATCATCCTATTAGTATATAAAAAGTTATGCGTTACATTTATGGTATCAGAGCATGAGGTTCTGACTTTAGGTAGAACACTCTGCTCATGTTCATGTTATATGTTAGACTTGTTATAATCCTTAGAGAAGAACTAAGGAGTATTAAGATTTGAAGTTCAAGTCCTTAATGAATCAAGGGTTTAGAGTAAACTTATGAAGCACAGGTTCAGGCTAAGCCCATATTTAATGAGATAGGAATTTTATAAATATGATCTAAATAAAATATTAATCTGAAGTGTGTTTGAGGTATATTCGAGATAAGTTTGAGGTATACTTGAGGTTTGTACTTTAGATGACTTTAATCTTGTTGAGTTTGATGATGCTCATTGATATTTCTTGTTTTAAATTCAATTGATGATGAACTAGATGTTTGGTATTATAATTTGAGAAGTGCCATGAGAAAAGAGAATATACAATAGTTGTAAGCTAGCTTAGGTTCTTGAACAAATAAGAGAAAGGACTATGAGACAATAAACCGAAAGGGATAAAGACTCGAGAAACTCATTGTGAATAGAGAACCTCTTGGATATGTTGTCAAAAACAAATATCTGAACCCAAGATATAGTCCAGATCTGTGAATCTAGTATACATGATTATGAGAATTGGGTAAGAAAGTTAGAGGATTTTTAATAAGTTAGAACAATAGAGCTAATGATAAACTTGATGCCTAACTGTAAGGGCTATTCAAGGAAAAATGTTTAAATGGTTATGGCCAATGAAATTATATAACATAGTGTTATTTTAATGATTGATGGCTTGTTAATGGCAGGTTAGTAAAAAAGTAGTTGAGATTGATTTGAAACTTATTGTTTGAGATTTGTCGAGGTTCTAAAAGGTGGATAAGAAAATTTTACTAGCCATCGAATGATCAATGATGCAAAGGTGTTGAAATTGAGAAGCTAAGCTTAAGAAAATGTCATTACTATTATGCTTTCTCATATGCTAAATCATATGAACGATTATTAATGTCTATGATATTTAAATTCTTCGAACAAAATGTCTTAAATTATTTAACCACATCTAAGACATACCTTAAGGCTCTTATGTATAGGTTTGAAGCTTGAATATAATAGAATGTGATTAAAATTATTAGCTGCTTGCTTTGTGAATATCGGCATGCTAAATTTGCTATTCTTAGGAACTATTGTTTTGAATAGTGGAAGGATACTACAAGTAGACAAACATGGGTATATGAGAAAGAAGAAAGATTCCCTGTGGACCTCATGCAATAGGTTTTGAACTATCTTAATGATGAATAGTGAATGAAAGAAGAGATTAATAGGATCACAAGTAAGACAAGAAAGAGAATGAAAAAAAGAAGAAGAAATAGACGAAAGGAAAGTAGAGCAGCAACAATGGCTTATGGTTTTCAACCATAACTAGTTCAACATCCAATCTCCTTTGCCAATACAAGTGGAGTTAGTAAGAAAACAAGATAAAATAAAGTAGCAAATTTCAAAGGTATATAAGAGTTAAAGTTTTGAAGAAGTAAAATTCAGATTGTTTGCCTTCCTTAAGAAGCTCAAATTATGGTGCAAATTAGTCCCAGAGCCGGAAGATATATCTTTTGATTCTAATAATGTATATTTTATAAATGCTACTAACGGACAAGATGAGTGAAGGCAAAGGTATAGTTAGATATCTAACTATAGTGCCTGCTCAAGAGGAATATATTTGAATGATATTTAAATACTCAGAAAAGTTGAGGCTAGACAGTATGCCTATGATATTTGTAAGGTACATAAATAGAGTACGTAGGTATTAATGAAATTGAAGATATAATTCTATAGTTGAGATTTAGTATTGGCAATTTAGTATAAGAGTTATGTTACGTAGTAAGAATCTTCTAAAAAAACCTTGATAATTGACTTCTAGACCTAGTATGAGAAAGGTCTTGGCCACATAGTGTTTTCCAAGATAGTGGAACTGGTCCTCCGAGAGAAAGAGAAAAGCAACCGAGGCAAGGCAATACAGAGTTGACCTTATGCTAATGAAAGCATAAAATACATGAGGGCCAAGAGTATGATGGGATCAGATATCCCTTGGGTCTAGCAAAATACTAAGAAAGATTCAAGAAAAATTCTCTTATGCTACCAGATAGCTAACTGCCAAACAAATTGACATTGCAATCAGATGAATTTCATGCCAAATAGTTTAACGAGTATTATTGCCTTAATTGCAAGATGGATGCCACTTCTACAGTAATTAGATGAGTCAGGTTGAGAGGAATGATGATATGTTTTCGTCAGAAAGTATAGGTAGCCACTAACACATAATAAAGAGACTTTCCTTGGGGTTTGAGTCAAAGTTAAAAGACCCCCCAGTATAGAGCAATGGCAAGAGTTGAGAAAGCCAAATAGGGATATAAGTCTATTTTTTGTCATAAAGGCAAAGTGGCGACCTAAGCCTTTGAACAGTTAAGGCGGCCTTAAGAGAGATAAGGCAGTATCATGAGTTCTCTCCTTGTACCATCTAAAGTAATTAGAAGTGGTAAGATTGCAAGAGTTAGAGTAACTCTAAGGCAAGGTAAGTATAGTATGCGACATAAACATGTTGTTGACTGTAATGGCTACAAATATGAATAAATAGCTCAAAGAGCTAGCTAGGCATAGTAGACGAACTCATATAAAGCCTAAGAAAGTTAAGAATAAGATAATGAAGCTAAGAAGTGTAAGGAGATAATTTTGAGTTGCCAAAAGGAATGAGTAAGGCTTAAGAAAGCAATATGGATATCTAAGATTAGTTTTGGAGAATTATCAGTATGGTTGCGAGATTTCATAGAGATAAAGTTATCCTATAACTTCATTCTTTGGTCTTGAAATTCCCATAAAGGGATCGCAGTTAGATCCAAGAAGTGGGCTTATGAGATCATAGTTAGATCTCGAGATCGTAGTTAGATCTCATGGTCATAGAAGACCCTGAGGACAGTTACTAATACCCAAAATAAAGTAGTCTTATCTGGGAAGACAATGACCTCAGTTGAGTTTAGAATATATGATTTCTTGAGTCTGGTTAACCATTCAGAGAGAGTATCCTTGACTTTTCTTTAGATAGCCAAGTTGTTAAATAGACTAAGCTCAATTCTAATTGGTCAACAAAGGAACGTAAGAGTTAACAAAGTGTAGAGCTGCAAGTCCTAAGTAAAATACATTTAGGCCAGCTAAGTTTGGGGTAAGAAGGTAAGAGGAACAAAAAAAGCTCCCAAATATTATATGAATAGATTGAGTACCAAGAGATAATCCCAAAGGTAAGGTAGAAAATAACAAAGTAAGATTTTCAGAATGGGTGATACCATTAAAATGTTTCAGTTTATGCCAAAAACTTAGAATCGTTGATGTGATTAATATATCTTGGTTGATATTAGGTGCTTAGAATGGTGTATGCCATTAACAAGTCTTAGTTGATGTCAGATATCCAGCATTGTGAATGCGATCTATCACGACATGAGTTAGAGCACTGAGAAAATTACATAGTTAGCAAAGAAGGCAGTTAACATTGAAGGTGAGAGACCATGTTTCCTCAATGGATCCCCAACTACATACATAAGTCGATCTATAAAGATCAGAAGAGTTATGCTGATAAAAGAAGGAGACCGTTGGAATTCAAGATTGAAGATTATGTTTTCTTGAAAGTAGCATCGACTATGGGCATTGGAAGATCGATGAAAATGAAGAAATTAAGTCCAAAGTATGTAAGACTATTTGAAATCCTTGTAAAAGTCGGCCTGGTGGCGTACTCTCTTCTTTTGTGAATTCTTTTCTTATTTAATTGTCTCGTTTTCTCTTGGTCACAGGTTGTAAGATTGCAAAGTAATGCGTATGCCTACTTCCAAAATTATAACGTTAATTTTTACCCTTATATTTTACTGGCTACATGCTGTGAAAGAAGTTTGGTTTTGGTGCTTATTGCAGGATAAATAATTCTGGACCTTCCAAAATCTGCTTCAAATGGTTGAGATTTAATTTAAATTTTTTGTTGTTGTTAATTTCTTTTTTTGGGAAAGCGATAATTAATACATTATTTTTATTTTAAACTCTATTTAATTTGGTTAAAAAATGAAAATAATTAAATTTAGATCGCCCAGACTTAATCTAACGGTTCGAAATTAAGCAAGTACCAAAACTATCCCTATGAAACATTCTTAGGAAATAATAAATAATTATATTATTTTGTCCTTATTCATTGCGAATTTCTATTCTCATTTATTAATAGATTTGATGGTTTTTTTCTTGGTTAACCTTTTGTATGTCACACGTATTCTACATAAAAGGAAGATAACTGACAATGTAATGTTAACACTATATATGTAGTTAAAAAATTATGCTTACAGCATGTAAGCTGCTAATGTTTCAGACCTATGCTATTAGTTATAAAAATGATCTAATATATGATGTGCGTCCATGTTTCTATTTTGCTTGCAAATTACTTTTAAACTCAAATTTGATAGATGGAAGATGATGTGATGCTTGACATCAAAACTATGATTCAAGACAGTAGGGATAGCCACATGTATCGAGGCAGGTGTATCCCTAGAGTGACTTGTATAGAACTTCCAGATGCTCACACCCCAAAATTTGTTTCTATTGGTCCCTTTCATTGCGGTGATAAGAGGCTGTGAGATATGGAAAGGCTCAAGCAAGTTTTTCTCAAAAAATTTACACAAAGAAGCAGAGCAAACCTGGATGTTTTGATTAGTTTTGTGAAAAGTTCAGTGTCGAAAGTGCGTGCTTCTTATTCAGAGAACATCAATCTCGCTGATAAGGAACTCGTGAAATTGATATCAGTGGATGCTGCTTTCGTCGTCAAACTTTTCAGCCCTCTGCGTTATAAGACAGATATGGTTGATGATGTACTGTCACATCCATCAATTGGATATCTACATCTAGATTTAATTTTATTTGAGAATCAACTACCATTATTTGTTTTTGAAGAGCTATTCAATATAGCATTTCCCCCTAACCTTCGTGATGATGGAATCACTTTTTCTGAGCTTGCTTATCGGTTCTTTAGTGAAGCATTCGACCTTGAAAAGCCAAAGCATGATCTTGATAATGTGAGCACAAAGCATTTCACAAATTTGCTTAGGTTTTTGTTGTTAGCAGGAGGTCCTCCAGAAGCGGAACCATTCTTTTACACTACTGATGTTCTTTCATACAGTGCAGAGGAGTTGCAAGAATTTGGAGTAAAAAGTTGAAGGCCAGCAAAAGCAAGAGCCCATTAGACATCAAGTTTTCAGGCCATGTTCTGGAGCTTCCACAGATTTTGGTGATGGATCTCGTGACTGAAGCTTTGTTCTTTAATATGATTGCTTTTGAACAGATCCATTGTCCTTTTACCTCTTACATTACTAGCTATGCTCTTGTATGGAGTCGCCTCATCAACACAAAGGAAGATGTGGATGTCCTGGTTGATAATAAAATAGTCCGCAGCTTCATTACTAATACTGAGGTTGTTCTGTTGTTTAGAATGATGGAAAAGAATGAAGGTGTAGCAACGCTGATTACTTAACACGTTGACATCTTCAAAAGGTTGAATAAGTTCTGCGAAAATGGTTTGCGACAGAGTAAAGCGAGTTTGAGGCGTGATTATTGCAGGACGGCTTGGCAAGGTGCGGCCTCTGCTGCTGGATTCATTCTCCTCATTCTCACTATTCTTCAGACCATATTTTCTATCCTCCAAGTAACAAAAGAAAACAAGATTCATTTGAAGCTTGCTTGTGTTTATTTGAGTGTTGTTTGTCCTCAGAATTTGTTGCGTTCAATTTCATTCTGTGTAATACTCTTTCATATTGCAATTGCATTAGTCGCATAAGGAATCAAACTTCTTGCTGTTAGTTCCGAGCATATCTGAAGGCCATTCAATGATACAATGTTAAACCATCATTATTCATTATGTTATTCTTTAAAACCAAATGCAACTTTTGTCCATAAAATCCCACAAAATTGTAGCTTTAACCAGTGATTTACCATTAAGTTGGTCCCAAGCATTGAAGCCCCTCTTTTTTTGGCTCGCAAGACTCCGTCTTCAGAATGTGACACTATAGCTCAGATGGTGCTCCCACGATGAGAACGGTGATGGTAGTTGATGAGAAGCTTAGCAAAGTGGATAGGCACTAAATATGGGCTCCAAGAATTCCAACCCTCTACCAGAGCCAACCGTGTTGGTGCCATAAGTAACTTTTTAGTGATATTAATAATGATTTTTCCCTCAATGACCACTCGAATTAGGTTAGGAACTAAAGGTTCAATTGTGATGAATGTAGCACTGGGAAGAACGGCTTATGGATTTGAAAAAGTACCCATTTCACAAGGCGCGGCCATTAAATAGGCGGCTTCGGGTTGGTTGGCAAACTTTTAGGCCTGTTTAAAAAAATTTTATTTTTTCAGAAAAAATTAATATTTTGATTTTTTAAGTTTTAATTCAATCTTTCTACTATGATTTAGTGTGACTCAATTTTTAATTTAATTAAAACTCAATCCCTAATCTTTTTGTATTTAATAAATTAATTATTTTTATGCATGACTCACCTTGACTCATCTTAAGTAGCTTCCAAATAAGCTCCACTTAGGTTAAATAAAAAAAAAAAAGTTTTGATGGCTGGCCTCCTTCATATCTTCTACCAAACACTCACCGTCGCCCAGGGGCAATCATTTTTATTTAATCGTGCTTTATTATAAGTATGCTCTATTTTAGTGGCAAAGATATCAAAAAAATTTTCTTCAAGTAAATTTTGTTTTCAAGTTTTGTAGTTTAGTTATTATTTTACTTTAATTTAAGATACATTAAAGTTGAAACCTATAAAGTTTTAATTCAAGTTATAGAATCACAAGTTATATAAGTATAAAAATATTTTCTTATCAAATATATATAGTCTAAAAATATTAACATATATAATATAAATCAAATCATTATCTAAAATTCAAATTAACTCATCTTTTAAGGTTGAATCAAATAAATCAAAGCATTTTATAAAATTCAAATAGATAATGACATAACTAAATGTTTGCAATATCATTAGCAATGTAAACAAAAACAAGAAAAGCAATCGTATGGGCCTTGGACACATGCTTAGTTGGGCTACAAGAAGTGGACTGGGTTGGGGGAAGTTTTTAAAAACTTAAAATAAATAGATATGGGCCGATGGATTTGGGCGTGAAATTTGTTGGCTCTTTTTCTCTCTGTCGCTTTCTTTCTCTGCATCTTTCTCTGTGAATTTCCTGTCCTGTTATCCTCTGGACCTAATTTTATTGTAATTGCTACAATATATGAACTTGCTTCGGATATATATGTATGTCCCCTTGAATATATGTGTATCATTACGCTTTAATAATTAATGATAAATATTTTTATTTTCTTTCATTTAGTTGTTGTTATCAAATAAAAAAGTTTAGAAAGCATCTGTGATAATTATTTATTTAACCATAGAATATTTTGTCGACAAATTGAACGGTCAAGAGATTGGATCGTGGTGTGTCCCTGATAATTCTCTGAGTAATTGAGAAGCCCATATCTTTCTTAGAGTCAGGTTCCTCAGAGTAAATTTTGCTGCATCTATCCTTCCGTTTGACCAGCACACATAAGCAAATGGTTTTTGCCAAGAGATTTTTCTAGTGGACTAAAATTCCCCTCATATATTTGATACCTTAATTAAGAGTATAGTTTACATAAGGCATATTAATCTCTTTTTCCCCCTTTGAAACCTATAGTGTGGTTCACGTCATGCTAGCTTTTATTTTTTATGTCTTTTTTAAAACTTCATTCGCTTATGTTTATACCTAATGAGCCTTTTTTTTTTTTTTTGCATGACCTTTGGCTGTTTTTTTTTGGCCAACTACATGACGTTTAGCTTATTTGATGCTTTTGCTTTAAAAAAAAAAAAAATACTTCCTCTTTCTTTTTCTTTTTAGTTATTTTCATTTGCTTTTGATATTCGTGTTGTAGTCTTTATAAAACTGCAGTGAACTATATGCAGTTTAAAGCCTCTGCAGTGGTACTTTTTTTGTTTTTTGTTTTGCCAGAAGCCGTGGTGCTATGATAGAGTGCTGTACTAGAAAGATCAGTTAATTAGAAGAATTGAAGTGCATGAGAACCATTTCATTCATTCATACAAATTCTATATTTTCCCATGCAACTGATAATAAATTATTTATTGCAAATCTACTTGGATTGAGAGAAAATGGGAGAGGAATGGAGGTTTTCGCTGGTTAAATGGAATAGTGTGGTTTCCCCTCAAAATTTCACGAGACTTTTGCTCAGCAAATTCATTCCCATCACTATCTTCTTCCACGAAGCTCTTATCACTCCTCAGCCTTTCATTTTATTCCATGATCATGGTTAAGATATTTTGTTTTATAAGTATCAAGATTAATTTTAATGGTACTAGTAGTGACATTTTCATGATCTCAATATCTCATGTTATTATAGTCTTTCATTTTATTCGATTTTTATCATTTTATTAAAATATTGAATAATGTATAATTTATTTACTTTTATTTTATTTTATTTTATTTAAAAATTATCCAATTTTTATTTTTTTCATATAGAAAAATAATTTGTTCTTGTTAAATATTTAGTTTCTTTGCCAACTATTTATAATGAAGGAATTTTAGTCATTCTGACATTTACTCATATTATTTTCTCTCTATTTTTTTCATTCATCTAAGCAAGATGAGTAATAATACTTTGGGAAAATTAATTTGTTGGTCTTTATAATTGTATTAGATGTTAAATTAGGTCCCTCAACCCTTTTTAGAGGTCCTTACGCTTCACTATCTTCAGGATTATAGTCCTTCCGTTAATAAACTTAGACGCCATTAATACAAAGAATGATGTGACAACAAATCACAGTTTTCTCTTTCTTCTCTCTCCGTATAGGCTGGCACTCATTTTTCAAGGTTGACCACTAGTTCACCATGATCAATCGAAAGATGCTGGGAAGGAGAGGGAGAGCTCCTTCTTCAGCAAGGTCCACTACTCCATCAACATTAGCACTCAGTTGTGTTTATGTGGAGGCAGGATAATGTCAGGTGATGATGGTGTTTGACATTCCGATGATAGCAAAAATAAAAATAAAAAAGAAAATTGTGAGACCTAATTCATAATTCAAAATTGAATGAAATTATAAGGGCTAGCACATTAATTTGTCCTAATATTTTTATTCCATTTTTCTCTTCTCTTCATTTTTTTCCTCCAAACTTCTTTTTTTTCCACCCAAGCATGCTAGACCAGAATTTCATGGGTATTAATATTTAAACACAATAAATAAATGACCTTGTTTTTGGGTGATTTTTCCTCTTAATAACACAGGTCTCCTGGATATGGGATTTTGCTTGTTGCAGAAACTACTTCTGGCTGCTTCATTTCTGTCGACACTGCTGTTTCTCGTGATCATGCTGAAGAAGCTACTGACTTCACAGATGATGAGAAGAAAGACATGATACCCCCAGAAGACATTGGTCAGCAAACTGCTTATGCCTTACTTCAGAAATCCAGCAGGGCGGAGTAGTGGATTCAACGCATCAGGTCTGAATTCTTAATTAAACCGGCCCTTGTTAATCTTTCTGGTCAATGTTTTTTTTTTTTTGCTTTTTGAACTTCTGAGAAACGAAACATTTGAAGAGTTAGTTGTTGATAGAGTTCAATGTCATTCTTTGATCTACGTAGCTAATCTTATCCAACGGAACAAGGCTGCTTGTTGTTATTGCTTCAAGAAATCCTGTTTCTGTTGTTCAATTGCATATTTAGTCGAAATAGGCCTAGCTCCTAGATAATGAGTTCTCCTTGATGCTGGACAAAGTATACGATGTTCCAATCTCTCGTTTTATTTTCTTCTTTCATTTGCCTAGAGCCATCCTTTCTTTCTTTAACACTGTTGTACTTCGGTGTGCAGGGTCTGTTGTTTCTTCTCTGCTCACTATGTCCACAAGATGTTTCCAAGATTCGCGTTGGACAGTTATCCCAGCATGGGATAGAAACACTGAGAAACATAAGGGAGTTTTTGGATTTGAAGTTCGTTATAAAGCCAGATCCAAAGACTCACACAGTAATTCTTAAATGTATCGGTGCTGGCTTGAAGAACCTTTCCAGAAAGCTGTCTTGAAGGTGATGAGTCCTTGTATTACTATAATTTACCAATTTTTGTTTGTTACAAGCTCCAAGGACTCATACTAGAACATTTTTTATCAAATTACTCTAGTTGCTTTTCTGTTAGTAATTCACATTGTTGGGCTGCAATGTATTAATCCAATTGACCAAATTTTCTTCTATTGAAGATTCTTTTTTGGTCACCCTCTTTAATTATATTCATGAGAAAGTGATGAGAAAATTTTCTGGCCAGACCAACCATGAAGTCAACATAATAATATACAGATTTAAACAGTACGAGAGTTGTTTAGTTTCCTTTGTTTTTAAATGAATTTTAATGATTTACTATTCTATTCTGAGCAATATTTTGATAGGTAGTGTTTTGCATGTGTCTCACTATATTTGTAACAATATCTTGTACAATGTTCAAGTCAAATAGATTTATGTTGGGAAGTTTGGAAAGTTATCTTGAAGGGAACAGAATTCCTTGGAACATTTGAGAAGACTGACTCTGCTAGATGTCTTCATATTTCATGTTTTCATATTATATTTTTGATAATAGATTTTAATAATTTTGTTTGTTGTGTTTTCGTATTTGCTTTCTTTTTAAACTGGTTTTTATTTTCTATTTTAAATTAGATAATTTTTTCTTTTATTTTAAATTTGCTCAATGTGTGCTTTGCTGGAACTGCTGAGCAGATCACCACAATTCCTCTTCTGTTAGCAATGGGCATTAATCGAGTTGATCAAATTATATTCATTGGAAAAATATTTTTTTATGGTTGCTTTTAATTGTATTCGAAGATTGATTACTTTTATAATGTTTTTTTTTTCAAAATAACACTTCGTCGTGAATCTCTTATTAATTTATCTTACGCTACATTCTGGGTAACTTTTTAAACGTAGTTTTATGAAGGCTTCTTTATGTTCGTCATTTTCATTACCTTTTTAATCCTTTATTACTCTCTCACTTTCATGGCTTTTATTTAATTTAGAACCATGAAGAATGTCCCGTCTTAACCCTAAACCAAAACCTTAGAATTCGAGGTTGTAGATCATTTCACTCTATAATATATTACTTATTAAAACCAATTTTATTCGACGTGGGACTTTTCATGTCAATTTTAAGTTTACTCATGTTTGGAGATCTTAACAAAAAAAAAAAAAAAACTAATTTTATGTACTTTACTAAACTTTCCACTCAAAATTCAAATGATTTATACTACTAAGTACTAATTGTACTCCTCCAGTGATCCTGGGTAAGCTGCGTTTACAACTTGCGCTGCTTTGAGATGATCTTCACTTCATTATAGACCAACCACAAGCTTCTAAAGCTGTCTCATGTTAAAATACTACTACCTGCGGTCTTTAATATAAGATCTCATTTGACTTTTATTTTGATCCTAAATATAAGATCCCAATTCACTTTGTCTCTCATGTTTATGTAATTTTTTCCAAGATAATAATTCTAATAATTATAGTTTTAGCCAACACACTTCATTAATAAGGATATTTTAGAAAAGACAACACCTATTTATTATAAATAACTAACTTAACTTATTTTCTTAATTTCTTCAAATTAGTTAACTAACTCTTATAATTAGGACCGGAGGCAATATGTCATCCGTGCATGGCCCCTATGCAATTTCAGTATGTGTATCCGGGTGCTTCTGGGCCATGTTATGGATATTTCCTCTCATACCTTTTTTTAATTAATTCGAAATTATATTTCATTGAGAAAAAAAATTGCACTAGTGCCGTTAATTTTACTTTTCAAAATAACATCGAAATATTTTTTTCCTCAAGAATATTGCTTTCTTGTTGCATTAAAAAAACAGAATATTACTTCCTTGTTGCATTAAAAAAAAAAAACAGAATATTACTTCCTTGTTGCATTTAGAAAAAACAAATATTACTTCTTTTGTTTTAGCCAACAATGTTATTTCCTTGCAACGTATTGGGAGAATTATTATAAAATCTTGTGAAAGAAACATACAAAAATGTTTCATAACAATTTAGCATTTTGCAATAATAAGTTTCAGAACAGGAAATAACAATAGGTTTTTACTATTCGCTTGTTATTTGGAGATATTAACAAAATTATTAAATTACTTAATCATAGTATATGGTATATAATCTCTCTAAAATTCTTATATGGATAAGTAGACAATATATTAATTTATGAGTGAAGTAAATTAGTTTGGAAAAAAAAACAATAAATATAAATAGTTTAAAGTAATTTAGTAGGTACCAAACAAATATTTTGTTTCTTGAAAGATAAACACCCTTTTAGCTTGTATGGGGATGAACTTAGGCTTATATATAACGAATAGAATACTTATTGTTGCATACAAGGACGACAAAACTGCATTTTGCTAGTCACTCCTCACCCAAACGCCAAGGTACTGATGACTAATCATCTACACTCTTCCATTGTGAATTCTTTTCTTATTTAATTATCTCGTTTTCTCTTGGTAACCTTGTAAGATTGCAAAGTAATGCATGGCTACTTCCAAAATTAATAGCTTAATTCTTACCCTTATATTGTATTAGTTACTACTATGGAAGAAGTTTGGTTTTGGTGCCCATTCCAGTGATAAAATATATCAACCTTTCAAAATCTACTCCGGACAGTTCAGATTTAAATTTTTAAAGTTTAAGTTCTTAAATTTTTTTTTGGAGAAAGTACTCTTTTGGTCTTATTTATAGGGTAAAGAGAAGAAATTTTTTGGTCTTATTTATAAGGGAGAGAAAGAATTTTTTCATATAAATGTATAATTTTATCCTTTATTTATTATTATTTTGGTTTTGTTTTTATAGGGTATAATACATGTTAAATTAAATAGAGAGAAAGTTGAGAAGTTGAATTTTAATACTGCTTTCTGAAATATGCTGGTATTGACTTGTAAATAGGACCACAAAAGTAATAATCAAGATATTATCTTTATTTTAAATTCTACTCCTAGACCTTATTTATAAGATAGAGAGAGAATGTTTCTTTTGGTTTTATTTATAAGTTATCTCATTAAATTTTTAGCTTGAATGTATTTTGCCCTTGATTTATTATAGTGTAAATGATTATTTTTATGAAAGGTGCATATATAAAATAGGGATAAAATTGAAAAGTTATTATATTTTAATAGAGAGTTAATACAGTTTAAGATTTTCTTTGATCTACATAGAACATATTGGAAATGTTCTATAAATAGGACTAGAGACGTATTTACTACTCCCTCCGGTCCTTATTATAGGGCATTATCTACAAGAAATTTCTGGTCCTAGATGCAGTCATTAACCAGCTCATTAAGTGCTATTTTCCAATTTTATCTTTGTTAATAATTAAGGTTTGGGGTTAAAAAGCTGATCAAACTCCTTGTTTATCTATCCGCGTTATTTAAGTTGGGGCTAATCTTAAAAAAATTTATTAATTTAGGACAGATTTAATGCTTCAATTCTCATTTCTTGGTATGTGAGAATTAGTTGTATAATAAAGAGGAAGGGGAGTAATTAATTTCTTAAAAATGCGAAAATAATTCATTTTAGATCACCCAAACTTAATGTGGCAGCACTTATGAGCATCGAAACTAATCTCTATAAAAGATTCTCGAAAAACAATAATTAATCATATTCTTTTCTCGTTACATTACAAACGTCAATATGTCTTGTACATCAATAAATTTGATTTGTTTTTTGGTTTTATACTGAAACCTTTTTTTATGTATAGTCTTATATGGCTACTAATAAAATTGTCTTCGTTTCAAAAAAAAAATCTATATAAAGGGAAGATAATTGACAATGTTTACACTGTATATGCATTTAAAAACCGCGTTGTTTAGCAATGATAATTATGCTTACAATATATAAGTTGCTAATATTTGATGCCTATGCTATTAACCAATTTTATAGTTCATTTAATTATTTTTTTCTTAGGGTTGAGGTCATACTGCATTTTGAAGTCTTCTTTCCAAGTGCATCCAGTACTTAGAGTATTTAATGGTTCATCTAATACCCTGAAATATTTTTTTAGATGCGTTCAGATACTCAAATATTTTATAGTTCATTTAACACCTTGAAATATTTTACAAGATACATCAAGCATTCTAAGGATTAGGGTATTTAGGGTGCATATTAAGGTTCTTGGTGTATCTAAACACATATTTAAAGATACTAAATGAATCATCATATATGTTAAGATATTGAACACACATGAAAAAAGACTTTAGAGTACCGAATGAACTACGTAATACTTTTAGGTGATAAACACAACAAGAAAAATATTTCAGAGTATTGGATTAACGTCAACCCTTTATGCTATGAAAGTGATTCAATATGAGATGTGCTATAAATATATATATATATTTATATATAGAGTGTTCCCTCCTTTCTTTTATTTTGCTTATTGGATTGCTTTCTAAATCAAATTTGATAGATGGAAGACGAAGTGATGGTTGACATCAAAACTATGATTGGAGATAGTGGATATGGTTATCTGTCACCAGACTGTTGTATCTCTAGAGTGATTCATACAGCACGTGATATAAAACCAGATGCTTACACTCCAAAGTTTGTTTCTATTGGTCCCTTTCATTACGGTAATGAGAGGCTGCAAGAAATGGAAAGGCACAAACAAGCTTTTCTCAAAAGATTTACACAAAGAAGCAGCACAGAGTTGGATGTTATTATTAATTTTGTCAGAAGTTCAGTAACGAAAGTGCGTGCTTCTTATTCAGAGAACATCAACCTTAGTGACAAGGAACTTGTGAAGTTAATATTATTGGATGCTGCTTTCATCATTGAATTTCTCTTCATTATGCATTATAAGCAGGAGATATTAATTGATGCTAAACTGTCACAGCAACCATTAATTGGAATTCTACCTCTAGATTTAGTTTTATTTGAGAACCAACTGCCATTCTCTATTTTGGAAGAGCTATTCAATATAGCATTTCCCCCTAACCTTCGTGATGATGGAATCACTTTTCTTAAGCTTGCTTCTTGGTTCTTTAGTGCGACATTTCACCTTGAAGAGCCAAAGCATGATCTTGATAATGTGAGCGTAAAGCATTTCACAGACTTGCTGAGGTTTTTATTGTTACAAGGAGCACCTCCAGAAGAAATGGAGCCACTATCTTACACTACTCAGGTTCTTTCATATAGTGCGAAGGAGTTGCAAGAATTCGGAGTAAAGTTGAAGGCTAGCAAAAGCAAGAGCCCATTAGACATCAAGTTTTCAGGCTATGTTCTGGAGCTTCCACAGATTTTGGCGATGGTTCTCGTGACCGAAGCTTTGTTCTTTAATATGATTGCTTTTGAACAGATCCATTGTCCTGTTACCTCTTACATTACTGGCTATGCTATTGTATGGAGTCGCCTCATCGCCACAAAGGAAGATGTGGATGTCCTGGTTGACAATGAAATAGTCCGCAACTACCTTGTTAATACTGAGGTTGTTGAGTTATTTGGAATCATGGTAAGGAATGCCGGTATTTTAATGCTGAATTCTGAATACCTTGATATCTTCAAAAGGTTGAATAAATTCTGCGAAAATAGTTTGCGACGGAGTAAAGCGAGTTTGATACGTGATTATTGCAGGACGCCTTGGCAAACTGTGGCCTCTTTTGCTGGAATCATCCTCCTTATTCTCACCATTCTTCAGACCATACTTTCTATTTTCCAAGTAACAAAAGGATAAAACAAGTAGATTCATTTGAAGCTTGTGTGTATTTGAGTAGTGTCGTGTCCTCAGAATTTGTTGTGTTCAATTTCATTCTGTGTAGCACTGTATTTTTGCCAATAAGTTGATCCCAAACATTGAAGCCCCTGTATTTTTGGCTCACAAGACTCTTGTCTTCAGAACGTTGCATAAAGCTCAGATGTTGCTCCGACAATGGGACGGTGATGGTAGTCGATGAGAAGCTTAGCGAAGTGGATAGGCACTAAATATGGGCTCCAAGAATTCAAACCTTCCACCAGAGCCAACCGTGTTGGTGCCATGAGTAACTTTTTAGTGATATTAATAATGATTTTTCCCTCAATGACCACTATAATTAGGTTAGGAATTAAAGGTTCAATTGTCATGAATGTAGCACTGGGAAGAACGGCTTATGGGTTTGAAAAAGTACCCATTTCGCAAGGCGCGGCCATTAAATAGGCGGGTTCCGGTTGGCCAACAAACTTTTAGGCCTGTTTAAAAAAAATTTATTTCTTTCAGAAAAAATTAATATTTTGGTCTTTCAAATTTTAATTCAGTTATGACTCAATCCTTCTACTATGATTTAGTGTGACTCAGTCTTTGAATTTTTAATTTAATTAAAACTCAATCCCTAATCTTTTTGTATTTAATAAATTAATTCTTTTTATGTATGATTCACCTTGACTCATCTTAAGTAGCTTCCAAATAAGCTCCACTTAAGTTAAATAAAAAATAAATAAAAAAGACAGTTTTGATGGCTGGGCTCCATATCTTCTACCAGACACTCACCGTCACCCAGGGGCAATCATTTTTATTTAATCATGCTTTATTATAAGTATGCTCTATCTTAGTGGCAAAGATATCAAAATTTTTTTCTTCAAATAAATTGTTTTCAAGTTTTGTAGTTTAGTTATTATTTTACTTTAATTTAAGATATATTAAAGTTGAAACGTATAAGTTTTTAATTCAAGTTATAAATCACAAGTTATATAAGTATAAAAATATTTTCTTATCAAATATATATAGTTTAAAAATATTAACATATATAATATAAATCAGATCATTATCTAAAATTCAAATTAACTCATCTTTAAGGTTCAATCAAATAAATCAAACCATTTTATAAAATTCAATTAGATAATAACATAACTAAATATCTGCAATATCATTAACAATGTAAAAAAAAAAAAAGAAAGCAATCGTATGGGCCTTGGACACATGCTTATTTGGTTGGGCTAAAAGAAGTGGACTGGGTTGGGGGAAGTTTTTAAAAACTTAAAATAAATAGAAATGGGACGATAGATTTAGGCGTGAAATTTGTTGGCTCTTTTTCTGTCTGTCGCTTTCTTTCTCTGCATCTTTCTCTGTGAATTTCCCGTCCTGTTATCCTCTGGACCTAATTTTATTGTAATTGCTACAATATATGAACTTGCTTCGGATATATATGTATGTCTCCTTGAATATATGTGTCTAATTACGCTTTAATAATTAATGATAAATATTTTTATTTTCTTTCATTTGGTTGTTGTTATTAAAAAAAAAAGGTTTGAAAAACATCTGTGATAATTATTTATTTAACCATAGAATATTTTGTCAACAAATTGAACGGTCAAGAGATTGGACCGTGGTGTGTCCTTGATAATTCTCTGAGTTATTGAGAAGACTATATCTTTCTTAGAGTCAGGTTCCTCAGAGAAAATTTTGCTGCATCTATCCTTCCGTTTGACCAGCACACATAAGCAAATGGGTTTTGCCAAGAGATTTTTCTAGTGGACTAAAATTCCCCTCATATATTTGATACTTTAATTAATAGTATAGTTTACATAAGGCATATTAATCTCTTTTTTTCCTCTTCGAAACCTTTAGTGTGCTTCACGTCATGCTAGCTTTTATTTTTTATGTCTTTTTTAAAACTTCATTCGCTTATGTTTATACCTAATGAACCTTTTTTTTTTTTACGTGACCTTTGGCTTCTTTTTTTTTTTTTTTTGCCAACTACATGACGTTTAGCTTATTTGATGCTTTTGCTTTAAAAAAAAAAATACTTCCTCTTTCTTTTTCTTTTTAGTTATTTTCATTTGCTTTTGATATTCGTGTTGTAGTATTTATAAAACTGCAGTGAACTATATGCAGTTTAAAGCCTCTGCAGTGGTACTTTTTTTGTTTTTTGTTTTGCCAGAAGCATTGGTGCTATAATAGAGTGCTGTATTAGAAAGATCAGTTAATTAGAAGAATTGAAGTGCATGAGAACCATTTCATTCATTCATACAAATTCTATATTTTTCCCATACAACTGATAATAAATTATTTATTGCAAATCTGCTTGGATTGAGAGAAAATGAGAGAGGAAGGAAAAGTGAGATGAAAAATGGGAGAGGAATGGAGGTTTTCGCTGCTTAAGTGGAATAGTGTGGTTTCCCCTCAAAATTTCACGAGAGACTTTTGCTCAGCAAATTCATTCCCATCACTATCTTCTTCCACGAAGCTCTTATCACTCCTTAGCCTTTCATTTTATTCCATGATCATGGTTAAGATATTTTGTTTTATAAGTATCAAGGTTAATTTTAATGGTACTAGTAGTGACATTTTCATGATCTCAATATCTCATGTTATTAAAGTCTCTCATTTTATTCGATTTTTATCATTTTATTAAAATATTGAATAATATATAATTTATTTACTTTTATTTTATTTAAAAATTATTATTTTTTCCTTTTATTTTTTCATATAGAAAAATTTGCTCTTGTTAAATTATTTAGTTTCTTTGCTAATCATTTATAATAAAGGAATTTTAATCATTCTGACATTTACTTATTTTATTTTCTCTCTATTTTTTCTCATTCATCTAACTATCTAAGCAAGATGAGTAATAATACTTTGAGAAAATTAATTTGTTGGTCCTTATAGTTGCATTAGATGTTAAATGAGGTCCCTCAACCCTTTTTTTAGGTCCTTACGCTTCACAATCTTCAGGATGATAGTCCTTCCGTTAATAGACTTAGACGCCATTAATACAAAGAATGATGTGACAACAAATCACTGCTTTGTCTCTCTTCTCTCTCCGTATTGGCTCGCACTCATTTTTCAAGGTTGACCACTAGTTCACCACGATCAATCGAAAGATGCTGAGACGTAGAGGGAGAGCTCCTTCTTCAGCTGGGTCCACTACTTCATCAGCATTAGCACTCTCAGTTGTGTTTATGTGGATGCAGGACAATGTCAGGTGATGATGGGGTTTGACATTTCGATGATAGCAAAAATAAAAATAAGAAAGAAAATTGTGAGACCTAATTCATAATTCAAAATTGAATGAAATTATAAGGGCTAGCACATTAATTTTTCCTAATATTTTTATTCCATTTTTCTCTTCTTTTATTTTTTTCCTCCAAACTTCTTTTTTTCCACCCAAGCATGCTAGACCAGAATTTCATGGGTATTAATATTTAAACACAATAAATTAAAAAAATATTTTTACTGAAATATTAGGACCCAAGGTTGGAGTGAAATTTCAATGCATATATACTCCTCCAATTCTATTTATAAGGCAAAAAAAAAAAACTTTTTCTTATTCCTATTTGTAAGTCTACTTATTAAATTTTTAGCATGAATATACACCTTTGTCCTTCATTTTCATTTATTATAGTGTAAATAGTTAATTTTTTAAAAAAAGTGGTTATTTTACGGGAAAGTTTATGCATTTCATGTTTTTAAATTCACTAGTTGTGCTACTAATGAATCTCACTTTTCATACGTTGGAAGGAAGTAATATTCTTGAGATGTAACGTGAAATTTGTTTTTCCAATTAAAAATAAAACCAAAACAAAAGACATTGTAGCTTAAATGAGGATAAACCATTCAAGATATATAACTAGCTTGTTTGATCAAGTTTAGATGGCAGAAGATATGCTTAGTGATATGAATCAAACAGACTTGTTATACTCTGATGAGAGTGTTCAACAAATGGTGGAGCTGCAGCGACCACTTCTCTCATCTCAGCCTTCAGATTTATCCTCCAATCACGTGCAACAACCACAGGTACGTATCATTCTTTCCTCCTCTTTCTTCAATTCCAAAGGTTCAGATTTAAAGTTTCAAATCTATCATTTTTAGGTTGTAATTTATTTTTTTGAGATAGTGGTAAGTAAGATTATCCTTATTTTAAATTCTATTTATTAAATCTGGATTCCCCATTCTTAATCTGATGATCCAAACTTATCCCTGTGAAAGATCCTCAGAAAAAGCACTGTTCAGAAGTGATACTTATGCCTCCTTGCTTTTATTTTGCTTATTGGATTGCTTTCTAAATCAAATTTGATAGATGGAAGACGAAGTGATGGTTGACATCAAAACTATGATCAATTAGAGATAGTGGATATGGTTATGTGTCACCAGACTGTTGTATCTCTAGAGTGATTCATACAGCACGTGATATAAAACTAGATGCTTACACTCCAAAGTTTGTTTCTATTGGTCCCTTTCATTACGGTAATGAGAGGCTGCAAGAAATGGAAAGGCACAAACGAGCTTTTCTCAAAAGATTTACACAAAGAAGCAGCACAGAGTTGGATGTTATTATTAATTTTGTCAGAAGTTCAGTAAAAAAAGTGCGCGCTTCTTATTCAGAGAACATCAACCTTAGTGACAAGGAACTTGTGAAGTTAATATTATTGGATGCTGCTTTCATCATTGAAGTTCTCTCCATTACGCATTATGAGCCGAAGATAATATTGAATGATGCTAAACTGTCACAGCAACCATTAAGTGGAATTCTACCTCCAGATTTAGTTTTATTTGAGAACCAACTACCATTCTCTGTTTTGGAAGAGCTATTCAATATAGCATTTCCGCCTACCTTCGTGATGATGGAATCACTTTTCTTAAGCTTGCTTCTTGGTACTTTATTGTGACATTTGACCTTGAAATGCCAAAGCATGATCTTGATAATGTAAGCGTAAAGCATTTCACAGACTTGCTGAGGTTTTTATTGTTACAAGGAGCATCTCCAGAAAAAATGGAGCCACTATTTTACACTACTCATGTTCTTTCATACAGTGCAAAGGAGTTGCAAGAATTTGGAGTAAAGTTGAAGGCTAGCAAAAGCAAGAGCCCATTAGACATCACGTTTTCAGGCCATGTTCTGGAGCTTCCAAAGATTTTGGTGACGGATCTCGTGACCGAAGCTTTGTTCTTTAATATGATAGCTTTTGAACATATCTATTGTCGTCAAACCTCTTACATTTCTAGCTATGCTCTTGTATGGAGTCGCCTAATCAACACAAAGGAAGACGTGGATGTCCTCGTTAATAATAAAATAGTCCGCAGCTTCATTACTAATACTAAGGTTGCTCTGTTATTTATAATCATGGTAAAGAATGCCGGTCTAACAATGCTGATTCCTGAACATGTTGATATCTTCAAAAGGTTGAATAAGTTCTGTGAAAATGGTTTGCGACAGAGTAATGCAAGTTTGAGACATGATTATCGCAGGGTGCCTTGGCAAACTGTGGCCTCTTTTGCTGCAATCATTCTCGCCATTCTTCAAACCATATTTTCTATTCTCCAAGTAACAAAAGGATAAAACCAGTAGATTTATTTGAAGCTTGTGTGTATTTGAGTAGTATCGTGTCCTCAGAATTTGTTGTGTTCAACTTCATTCTGTGTAATACTCTTTCAAATTGCAATTGCATAAGTCGCATAAGGATTCAAACTTGTTGCTGTTAGTTTAGAGCATATCTTAAGTCCACTCAGTGATAAAATGTTAAACCATCATTATTCATCATGTTATTTTTTAAACCCAGATGCAATTTTTGTCCATAAAATCCCACAAAAATGTAGCTTTAATCAGTGTGATTTACCAATAAGTTGCTCCCAAACAATAAGGCCCTATTTTTTTTTTTTTATAGCCAATACACCTGATTGGCAAGAATATTTTAAAAAAAACAACATATATTCTTTACGAATAACTAATTTAACATATTTCTTTAATCTCTTTAAATTGGTCAACTAGCTCTTATAATTAAAAACCAACTACTTTTTCGTCGGACCGTTACTTCCCATTGATAAAAGCAGGATTGATTAGCTTGATAGCTTCTTCCCCAAGTCATCTGGCAAACGCGGAAACGAGCCAAGCAAATCTCCAATCCTCTCACTTCATTTTTCCTTGACTCGGTGTCGTTCTCCTCAGCCTGTCACCATCTTGGTCCGCGTGCTCCTCAACCCGTCGCCGTCGTTCACGGCTGCTCGGTGATCCTCAGTCCGCCGTCTGTCGCGTAGCTCGGCTAACCCCATCAATTTGCAGAGCTCCTTCTTCCCGGTAGTCTATCCCTTCTTAATAATTTCGATTTTTAAACTTCAAACGTAAGATGTGACTGAACCTCTGATCTGTGATGGAGTATTCTTACAACTGCATTCACTGATTGCCAGAAGTAAAAGGAACCTAATGTGAACTGGTCGTACGTAGCTGGGATTAAAAATAATGATTAACTCTGGTTTGTTACGTATTTTACATTAGCTGGTAAATAACATATTATTATTTTAATTTGGCCTTGGGATAGCATGTAATATTTTTAATTAAATTATATTACTTTAATCCTAGCCGATCTGACCGGCGACTCTTGAACATTCCCTTCAGAACCTTGCTAAATATTGTGCATGCCTATCGCATGTGGCATAGTGGGGCAGAGACCAGCGTACTTCGAGTAATCCAAGTGCATTTTGTGTAAGTTGTAATTGCTGAATAAAAAATGACAACAAAGCCGGCTATGATTAGTAACAATTTAATATTCCAGGACAAATAACAATATGACAACTCACAATCAAGGTAACATAATTTTTGGTTCCTAAAATTTGATCATATTTTAGTTTGGGTCCATCAAATTGCAAACTCGTGATTTTAGTCCCTGGAATTTAATATGTTTTAAAATATTAGTTTCTAGAACCTAGCGGTATAATTGTGTTAAAATTTGCTGAAGTGTCATAAACGACCAAAATGTTGATGTTGACTCACAAAATAGTACGTAATTGGATTTTGTGTAGATGATAAAGAGGGAAAAACACAAGAATAGGTCCTCGAAACATAGCCATTTGTTTGAGAAGTTATTCACTATATTTTAAGAATTCATCCTTCGTCGTCCTCTACATTGCGTTTTGAGGATCTTCTCTCTTTCTCTCTTTGTTTCTTTTTTTATCCACATCAAAGCTAGTTATGCATCATTTAGTGAGTTCACATTACCATTTTAATGTTATTTATGACACTTTCATAGATTTTAGCACCATTACACTCTTAGACTAAATTCAAGGAACTAAAAATTTTGAAATTTGAGAAGCCAAGACTAAAACATATCCAAATTTCCGGAACCAAAAATTATATTAATTTCATACAAAGCAAGTCAACTTTATTGAGACTAAGCATATAGGGGATGATGAGGTGGTGACCCAACGTAATTTCGCAATGCAAACACCTTCATGTGATCCACTGAAAAAATGGCTTGGAAAGATTCTGCCGAAAGACTTTACGGATTTAAAATTAAAAACATGAGAGCTAAATTAATTGAGATTTCATGTGGTGGCCTATATTATTTTTAATTAAATGGGCATACGTTGAAGTCATGAGGTTATAAGCCAACAACTTTTCATTTACAGAAAGCTCTCTTGCCACTGGGCTACAAGAACATTGCCCGCGCATTCATCATTATTTAAGAGAATACATAGAGGCTAGGCAACCAAAGCCGGTTATAACTTGCTTGTTGCTTCTATTGTTGACTAGTTGCAGGGTGATGATGAGGATTTCTATCCCATGGAGTATTTGGAGAGCAGCCCATCATCGTTGAAACCGAGTCATGTATATATCAGCTTTAGAGGTGATGAAGACACTCGTAAATTCATGCATAGCCTTTCGGCTTCTCTGAAAGAAGAAGGCTTCAGAATCTTTGGAGATGATAAGAAGCTTGAAACGCCAGGCTCCAATCTTCCACCTCACCTTCTTCAAGCAATTCCTGAGTCGTGGATTTGGATTGTTGTCTTCTCCAAGAACTATGCTTCTTCGTGTTGGTGTTTAGAGGAACTGTCACAGGTTGCTGGGCGCATCATTACTCCTGAGATTGAAGGTCCGTGTAGGCGCTCATCATCATCAGTTTTTTACAGTGCGCATGCGCACTGTATTGATGTCGATCCTGAACGACAAGAAATGTGCGAAGCAGAGATAGACAAGGTGAACAGATGGAGGCAAGCTCTGAAACGAGGGTTCCGTGTCTCTGGCCGCCGGCGTGTACCAGATAGGGTTATAGCAGTTTATTACGATGTGGATCCAAAATCCTTTGCTCAACATATTCAACAAGGATGCACACAAGATTCATTTGAGATAACCCAATGGAAGAGGAAGGCTATCGAACAAGTGGCCAGTTCCCCTGGCTGGCAAGTGCGGAATGAGTGCGTAATTTTACTCTCTCTCTCTCTCTCTCTCTCTCTATATATATATATATATATATATATATCAGACATGCATACTTTTGGCCAAAACAACAAACTGTTTTACTGGCAGACCTCAACTCCAGATGCAATATGGATATTATATAATTTGTGTATATATATCTACTTTAAAAAATTTAGATGTCATTTCTAAGTTGTCCTGATAAAAGCCACACACCAAAAATAGCAGAGGATCTTTAAGAGGAAACAAATTTGATTGATTTGGCGTTCCACTTTCTCTTTTTCGGCTCAGGGTTACAGGTTATTCCAAAAACTGTTAAAGAAGTCAAGTCTAAAATAGATAAACTATTTTATGACTTCTTCGGATTTGTTGGGATATAGTCTCAAGTGGAAGAAGTAGAAAAGCTTTTGGATTTGAATGCAGATGATGAAGTTCGAGTTGTTGGCATTTGTGGTATGAGTGGATTGGGGAAATTTTCTATTGCTACTGTTTTATATCTTAAGATCTTTCACTTTTTTTATGCCTTTTGTTTCCTTACCAATCTAAGTGAACGTTTAAAGCACGGTGACATAACTCTACAAGAACTTCTTCATAGACATTTGAGGACAGAAAATTCATAGACGATGGATTTTCTAGACAAAGAGTTCTTACCATGGAAAAGATTAAGAAAGCAGAAGTGTCTTATAGTTCTTGATGGTGTCGATCTTGAACAACATCTACAAGAGGTGAACTTAGTTCAAAAATCCAATTGTTTTGGCGGAGGGAGTAGAATCATTATGACAACTAGAGATGAAGATGTCCTTCAAAAATATGAGGTTAATACCATTTATAGACCTAAACTCTTGTCCAAGGACGAAGGTTTCAAACTATTTTGTTCTAAAGCTTTTCTAGGGGGATATCCGATTGATGATTTCGAAGGGATAATATATAGGGTGTTGGAATATGCTAATGGCCTTCCATTAGCAATTGAAATATTGGGTTCATCCATTTTTGGAAAAGGCGTTGCAGAATGGAGAAGTTTTCTGGATAGAGAAGAAATTATTCCGCCCTATAAGATCATAAGGGTGCTTACAAAAAGTTTTGACGAACTTGATCACATGAGTAAGGAAATGTTTTTGGACATAGCATGTTTCTTTGTTGGGAAGGACATTAACACTGTGTTTGGCTTGACCGAAGGAAAGAGAAGGGAGAAAAGGGGAGGATAGCTACAAAGGGGAGGGGAAGGAAGGGGAAGGGAGGGGAGGGATTTTAATGATCTCCTGTTTGGATTGATTGGAGGGGAGTGGAGAGAGCAATTTTAATAATACCTTATTTTGCTCTAATAAAAAATTGACTATTTTAACCTCATAAAATTTAAATGAATTTTCTCACTTTTTAATTTTGTTAAGATATAACTATATATAAAATACAATTCACCAATTTTGATTTACAAGACACAATCACATACTTACAAAATATCAAGATAAAAAGTCACAAGTGATAGATTTCAATTAGAGAAAATACCTTGAAGGTGAAAAAAAATACCAACAGCCCTTTGGAATTAAAAGAAGAGAAAAAAAAAAGTTTACAAATGCTCACTAATTTTGAAAACAATTATCTCAACAATCTCTTGTTAGATGCTTAAAAGAACTCTCTTATATAAAAATGTTTGCGACTGATTAGAGGTTAACAAATCGAAAGGATATATGAGGAATTAAAATATTATTTCTTACCTCCCCTCCAAAAAACCCTACTTTTGGAGGGGAGGGGAAAAGAACTGCTCTCCTCTTTAAAAAACATTTTAACCAAACGAGGGGAGGGAAGTGTCCCCCTCCCCTCCTAAAAAATTACACCAACCAAACAAGGGGAAGGGAGCAACTTCCCTCCCCTCCCCTCCGAAAACCCTGTACGAAACATAGCGTAACTGCGTGAAGGAAATTTTACATGATTGCATCGATTGCTATGTTGATATAGAAATTCTTATTCAGAAATCAGTCATCACAATTGCAAATGGGAGGATACAAATGCATAGTATGTTGCAAGCAATGGGGCGAGATATTATTCGACGACAATATCCGTTACAAAGCCGATTATACCTTTATAGTGACATTAAATCTGTTATGGAGAAGAAAAGAAACATGGTAAGTTTTGATACCCCTTTTTAGCTCATTATAATATGAAAAGTTAAAATAATAATCTAACATTTCATTATTTGTGTACAATGCGTTTATACTCCCAGGTGATGGAAAATTTTGAAGCTCAGCCAGATGACATCGAATCTGATACTGAGAGCGATAGAGACACATGGTAAGTTTTGATAGCCCTTTTTAGCACACCATTACAAAATGAGAAGTTAAAGTAATAATTTGACATTTCAGCATTTATAATCCTAGATGGTAGAAGTTGAAGCTATAGCCTTGGATTTGGAAGAGCCAAAAATGGCTTCATTGAGGGTTGATGCTTTATCAGATATGATCAACCTTAGATTGCTAATATTCCGTAAGGTGGAATTTTCTGGAACCATCAATAACCTTTCAAGCAAGTTGCGATATGTTTCGTGGCATCAATGTCCTTTCACTTCTTTACCATCAGGTTTTCAATCTGATACACTTGTTCAACTGATTATGCCTGAAAGCAACATGACAGAAGTATGGAAGGGCAGAATGGTATGTTCATGTTCTTCTTTTAGTTCTTAAATATTTAAATTACTGGAAACTGTTCGATCAAACTCCTAAACAAATATAGATACCTTTTACCTGTTGTTAAATATCCCCCGAGTGTCTTGTTTTAATACAAAAGGTACTATATATTCTCCATTCACAGATGCTCCCTGCTTTAAGAAAATTGAATCTAAGTGGCTCCAAAACGTTGACAAAGACGCCAGATTTTGGTGGTGTCCCAAATCTTGAGAGGCTAGAGCTCGAAGGATGTACTGGATTGTTGCTACTTGGTCCATCTGTTACTAAACTTCCAAAGCTCAGATTCTTGAACTTGAAAGGTTGCATCAATCTTGTCAGTATCCCTCATTCCATGTTTTGTCTGAACTCGTTGGAAGTCCTAAATCTTGCCAGCTGCTCTAAACTTGCATGTTGCTTGGAGTTTTCTCCAATGAGGAGCTTGATACAAGAAAAGCTGCTTAGCATCTGGGATAATCCATTCTTGGAAAAACTTTTGTACTTTCTGCTGTTGGTTTGCCAGAACAAAAGAGATATATGACTTCGTCTCTTGTTGTCTTATTTACTTGATGTGTACTTGTGAGGCCAAATATGTATAAAACTCAGGTCATGAGAGTCCGTACGAGTGTATTTGGTAAGTATGGGAATAATATAGTGTGGTTGTCTCTTTATTTGGCTGCAGCAATTACTTTGATATACGTCTGGTGTTATTGTAGATTAGTTCTTAATGAACAATTATTTAAAGAAAAAGTTATATATATTTATCAAAACACATCAAGTCATGAAATTGTAAAACCTTGGACTAAATAAATACTTATCCTACAAGTCTTAAACAAGTGTATATCAACCACTCACACTGGCTATAAAATCTAGCAGCAAAATAATAATCTGACGAGGAATAATATAAATCAGTCTCAAACTTGATATTACTTTGACTTCAATTATATTTTTCAATTTGTCAAACGAGGAAACAATGTGAGTTTGCCCTTTATTACTCCTCTTGTTTTTAACATAAAACAAGGAAAGTTGATATTCGTATTACATATATATATATATAAGATTTATTTCACATGTTTATTAATTTTTTTCAAATTAACTTTATTAATATTTTCTTAATAATAATAGAGTGATGGAAGAAACTAAAAAAAAATTAAAATATTTTAAAAAAAGCATATCATATTAACAAATTTAAATAAAGATTATGAATCTTCTCACACGTCCTACCTTGCATCCTCTCATTTGCAATTCCTTGACTGCTTTACTTCTGTCCCCATCCTCATCCTAGCCCCATTCTCGTCTCCCTAAACCCCCAAATCCACCCTGTCACTATCGTGGTCCTCCTGCTTCTTATCCGTCGCCGTCGTTCACCGCTGCTTTTTGATCCTCGTGGTTCTCAGTGCCCTGCCTGTCGTGTAGCTCTTGAACGGGTTAATCCATCCCAATTTTCAGAACCTTGTTAAATATCATGCATGCTTATTGCATATAACATAGTGGGTGCCTAAGCCTGAATTTTGAAGGATTGGGACGGAGATTGAAACTGGGATTGAGACTTTAAAATTATATCTGGTATGAAGTAATATTTGGAGGGAATGATTTTGTTAAATTTATTTTTCAATTTGTCATGAAATGTGAAATTGACAGAAAATACCCTTGCCCTCATGCATCTAAATTTTGGGTTGGGTATGAGGAGGGAATGGCCAGGTAGTGTAATTTTGGACGAAGTGAAGTGGGTGAAAACTTTGCAAAGCATTATCGTCGCCGTCTTCGATGCTGCTAAATACTGTAAACAGTAAAAATAATTAGTCAAATGCTACACTTGGTGAACTATTTACTCATATGCTACGCTTTTTTTAAACTTGTTCATCCCATGATTTTTTTTTTTTGACCTTAAAAGAGAAATATTCATTAAAGGTAAATAAGTACAAAGCCCAAAAGAAGGTCCAAAAGAAGAGCTAATAACAGCCCAGAGCAGAAAACCCTAAACCATAAAAAACTAAACCTAAAAACAAGAGGGACAGCCGCCACTGAGGTCACCGAAAATAAGCCCACCGTCTTCTCGTTGGAATCTGCAGGGAAAGAGGCGCCGTCACCGGCATCAACACCATTAAAAGGGGTGGGGGTTCGAATGAACCATCCCAAAGGACCCAACCCTCTGCTAGGCAAAAAAACAACCCAAAGTGGTTGCTGAAACACCATGAGAGAACTCATGGGAGGAGAAACACCCACAGATGCAAGCCAACTAGACGAAAACACAGAACGAGGAGTAGGAGATCTCACCGCCGACCTCACGACGAGTAGCACCACTATAGGATAACTGGTCTCTTTTTTGATGCCTTGGATTCGCCACCAATAAACTGAGCCACAAACTGTCCTCTGAGAGATAGATCGGAAAGCAACAGAGACAGCCATCAACACAACCCTTTCCCCAAAAACACAACCCGAAGGCATCAGCTCAGGATCGGAAGCATTTGAAGTCAAACTACCAGTAAAACAAAAATCGCCGTGAGAAAGTCCCTGAAAGCCCTTAAACAAAGGAAAAACAAAGTACACCACCATTAAAAACCCAACACCACCGAAACTGAAAATGAAAACGAAAGGCGGCCGCCCCCTCCTCCGGCATAAACGCCGGAGAGGGAGGCGTCGCCACAGCCGCTCGCGCCGAGGCGAGGAAGAGAAAACTCCCACCACTCACGAAAGTTCTGGAGAGGGGGAGAGAGAGCTCGCCCGTTGGCGAGGAAGAAATATAACTTTAGTTCAACCCCAAGCAACTTGTTCATCCCATGATGAACTTTCACTCGGAGTCTCTGACTATCTGTCTTTTAAAATAAAATGTGGAAAATGCCAACGAGTTCAAACTCTTTCCATTTTTTTATTTTTGGCAAAAATTACAACCCAGTATCTCGTTTATTCATCTTCTGTCCCGTGACCATGACTTTTGAATTTTGAAGAAATTATAATTGATATCCCGTCCCTTCATATCTTCTACTACTTCATCTTCTTTTATTTTACATTTTCTTCTAAATAGTATAAATATAGTAGATTTCTGTAGAAAATTAACTTTTTATCTTGATACTTAAATTTAGGAGAAAATATATAAATAAATTAAATAATATAAAGTATTTATAAAATTTTTAATATGTCCAAATCTACACATATTAATCATAAAATATATACTTATTAATTTCTATCTTTATCCTAATTATTCAGCGATATTTAAATCAAGAGTATTATTGAGAAAAAAAGTTTAACAGCTTCATAATTTTATGATTTTAAATAAAATATTAAAAAATTTAAGTACACAAAATCACTTAAATTAATTTAATAAATAAATACTGAAAACTATCAATTTATTAAGTGATATTTCCTAATTATTATTTTAATCACATGAAAATCATAAGTTATTATAAAAGATAGAGTCTTCTTCAATAGGGAGAGTTTATGTTACTTTAAACAATTCAAGGGGGAAAAAAAACAAAAATGAAATAGATAAGAATGGGTATTGAAGAAAAATAAGAAAATTAATATCTTTGGGATAATAAAAATGAAAATTGATAAGTGCATATTTTATAATTAAATATGTTAGATTTGGATATATTATAGAAGATTTGTAAATATTTTAAATTTATTTAATTTATTTACATATTTTCTCCTAAATTTAAGTATTAAGATAAAAAGTCATTTTCCTATAAAATCTACTTATATTTATCCTATTTAGAAAAAGATGTAGAATAAAAAAAATAAGGTATTGGAAGATATGATGGGACGGAATATCAATTGCAATTTTTCCAAAAATAAAAAATATGGAGATGTGACGGAAGCTGGAGAAATAGGGTACTTAGCTGTAATTTGCCAAAAATAAAAATTTAAAAAGGTTGAACTCGTTCATGACCTGTTACTTTTCTATTTTAGAAAGCATATTGTCATAGTCGAAGTTCATCGTAAGGTGAACGAGTCTCAAAGAAGCAGTATGTGAGTAAATAATTCATGTGGTGCAACATTTGGATCATTACTTTTACTTTTCACAGCATTGGGATAAAATTGCCTTCTTGCTCTCGCAGGTCCACTACTGAAAATTTTGTTTTGTTTTGTTTTATTTTCTTTCCCTTTCCTGCATTTTGTGTGCCCTCTGAAGTTCAGGCAATTTTGCTCGAATCAAAGCGAAACCACTAGCGAGGATGAACAAATAGGCAAAGATGATAAAGCCAAATCATCCACCAAATCGAAAACGGCCAGAGCCACGGCTAGGCTTAACAAACCTTGGTCAAATGAGCTGGCATCCTCTTTATCCTCACTTTCTCCCCCTCTGTCGAAAACCACGGTACTTCAAACTCTTCGCCTCCTCACAAATTCATCCAAAGCCTTTCAATTCTTTAAGTGGGTACACGATATGGGTTTCCCTCGCAATGACCAATCATACTTCTTAAAGCTTGAAATTTTGGGCTGTGGAAAAAACCTTAATGTAGCTCGGAATTTTTTGTTTTCAGTTGAGCTAAGATCCAATGGTTCTGTAAAGCTTAATGATCCATTTTTTAATAGCTTAATTAGGAGTTATGGTCAAGCTGGGTTGTTTGAAGAGTCGATGAAGCTTTTTCAGACTATGAAGACAATAGGTGTTTCACCTTCACATTCAACAGTCTTTTGTCTGTATATCCTAGAGGGGTTCGGACAAATATTACAAACGATATTTATGATGAAATGCTCAGAACGTATGGAGTAGCAGCGGACACATGCACATATGATATTTTGATCAGAAGCTTCTGTAAGAATTCCATGGTTGATGAAGGGTTTCGATTTTTCAATGAAATCTCGCGCTTCAATTGTGATGCTGATATTATTACTTGTGTAAAGCCGGAAAGGTCAAAATAGCAACATAATTTAGTGAAGGGTATGAGTAAGAAAAGTAAGGATTTGAATCCTAACGTTGTGACTTATAAAAGGGTATTGTCTGCAACAAAAATTAGATGAGGCCTTGCTTATGATTAAGGAGACGACGGGTGAAGGGCTCAAACTAAATAAAATCACTTACATTACTTTGCTAAATGGACTTTGTGAAGCCCAGAAATTAGATAAGATAAAAGATATTTTGGAAAAACCGGGGGGGATGGGGAATTCAGTCCTGACATATGTACCTTCACCACATTAATTCCTGGACATTGCAGTGCAGGAAACTTAGACGAGGCATTAAAGGCGTTTTAGAGGATGAAAAACTTGCAGGTCGGTGCAGACACAGCCACATACAGTGTGATAAACTCTTTGTGCGGCGAATCCTAGGCCTAAATTGCAAGATCAAACAGCTTTTTTGTGGTTAAAAGTTATTTGTTTTATGGGAAAGAAGTAAACATTACTCCTCCGATTCTTAATATAAGGCCTATTTAACTAATTTGATTAGATTAAAAAATTTAGGTAATTTAGTTAATTAAAGAAATATAACATGTTTTTCTTAAAACATCATAATCATTTTCCTTAATATCCTCTCTCCCTTTTCTACTTATTATGGTTGAGGGAGATCTATAGAAAAAATTTAAAAAAAATTGATAAATATGAAAAATGAGTCTTATATTTAGGATCAAAATTAACTTAATAATTATATCTTATATTAAAGACCCAAAAAGTATAATTGATCAGGTTAGGAATTAATTGTCAATTTTGATAGCACTCTTGGGGTGTAAACCAGTTGCTTTTCGTATTTGGTTTATAAGATCTTGGCCCAGAATCTAAAGACACAGAAGCTCGGGCCCAGCCCAAAAGGGATTAGAGGAAGACTTTGAATAGTGGAGTTTTGCGTTTTGAGGGAACCGGAGGGAAAGAGAATTCTGTTATGAACCGTTGGAGGAGAATCATTTAAAGGGATTGGACCGAAGAAGAAAAGGGATATTCATTAATTCCTCGACGCTCTGCTCTGACTCGGGGGAACCTTCATCTTTTTCCGTGTCTCTCGCCCTTTCTTCCAGATTTCAGAACTCCATCGCCATTTCGTTCTCTACATGGCTGTCACATCAATTAATCGAAGCCGTTCACAGATCCAGAACATGCGTAGCTGAATCCTTTTTGTTCACTTCGAGATATGACCGTACCTGAGCCTTCGATCTTCACCCCGAGAGTTCTTCTCAATCTGTTCTGGGCTAAGTCCTTCCATTTGATTGAACGAGTTGTAAGATTAAATGTTAGAATTCAGATTTGAACTGTTTGCTGTTATCTGGAGTAGTGAGATTATTAGGAGCAATAATTGATAATCATATGTAAGCTCAAGTCGACGTTTACATCCTCTGGTTGAACTGATTCTGCATCTGAATTCTGAACCAAGTTTAGTTATTGCTATTGATTTGAGTCAGTTAAATTGAATTGGACCGAGTTGGTCATTAGTAGAGGAATTGAATTACTGATTATTACCCGGAGGCCGAATCAATTAATACTTGCTGTGAATTCTTTCGAGTTGAATATTCGCATTGAGTAGGCTTACAAGTTGTGAGTCAAGCTGTTCTTCGATCCACCAACCTCTGTTACTAAATAGGCAAGGAGGGTACGGATTATCTCTAAGGGAACATTCTCACCATTTGTCTCAAGTGTTATCATTGTACTCAACTCTTTCCGTAATCTACAATTTCCTCTCTGAATATAAAAGCGAAACATATAAACAGTAGTTTAGCATTAAATCAGAAATTTATAGAAATATTTTTCCTCCGTTTACAATCTTTAATTTGTTAATTTGTGGTTCTTTGGACCTTTTAGGAACTTTAGTATCATTCAGCTCCTTTGAGATATGACCTAGGCTAGATTCTTACAGTACAGCATTTTAGCTTGGTAATTTTGTTAAGCACTACGACATGCTTTTCAGTGTTCTGTTGCGAAGCCTGTGTCGAAGAGAGGACTATGATATGGCAGAAAAGCTATCACTGCTGGCATTTTCTATTGAAAATCATCAAAATGTTGATCTTGATTTGTACAATGCTGTTATTTTGGGCGTTTATAAAAGGAGCAAGGTTTCAGAAGCCTTTGGTTCATGCTATTTATTGATGGAGAAAGGCTTACATCTGGAATTGACATGTCTAGATGAACTAATGTCCGCTCTAGAGGCTGAAGGAAGATCAGATGAAGCTGCATTTATATCTAAGAGGATGCAAAGGCAAGAATTGTTAGGCAGCTCTTCACAAAAATAGGGACTCATTCTCACTGCTTCACAAATATGATGCAATAGCAGCAGCCCATTAATCGTTCTGTGCTTCAGACTTTTCAAGATGAAAATTCATCGCCACCCCAATCGAGCATGATGTGCATTAGTAAGTTACCTTTCATTCATCATTTGGATTGAAAATTGTCATAAAATAGTGAATGGTTTCCTATTCATTCTATTCCAATCTTGTAAAAGTAGTAGGGTACGAGGCTGCTGATCCTTTTGTTTGTTTTGCGAAGAGAGGCTAGATCTCTTGATTGTATTTCCCAAAGCATTGCATGTAAGCATTGCAAGTAATGGCTCTTCAGTCCCAACAGAGAACGACTTATAATGCCTTTTGAAGTTAATATGCATTGGTCCCTTCTCACTTTTCAATGACCATTATCTGTTGTAAGTTGTAACCTCTCTCCTAATTGCTACAAGGAAATCAAGGTCAAGTTCACAGTGCAGGTGACCCTGAATCCTCGTTGGATGCTTCAGATCAAGCAGCATTGACAAACCTGAGTGATGTACTACGACACCTTCCTGTTTTTGCATTGATCGTCTTTCAGAGGATATATAATGTAAAAGTTTTTTGAATTAAAAAAACTCTGGCTTTGCATTTCTAATTTCCCTCTTTTATTTCATTAATATAATGCCTTGCATTGAAGTTTAAGTCAATTTATATGTGCAAAAGATTGATTTGAAGTTGATTTGAAGTGTGTCTGGTGTGACTCTGGTTTCATACTGAACCAATATTGAACAATGTGGTCGAGCTAGTAGCGAGGGCCTGGAGAAACTTTCAAGAGGTCTTACATCTGAAACTTCGTATCATCATTGCTCAGGAAAGACTAGCTTGCTTACTTTGTTCGTGCGCAAAGAAGGCCCGTTGAAGTGCAGGTGAAAAAAGTTGAGTTGATGGTCTTTTAACTTTGTGAAAGGATGTAAAGGGAAACTAAGAAGAGCACTTAAAGAAATTATAGAATGAGATGTTATGATGAATGAGATATTAAAGTTTAGCAGCGTTGTGCTATCCATCTAGTTGAGTTAATGAGATAAAGTTGCTTGTTCTTCTTGTTAAATGTTAATGAATTATTTGAAAGTAGTTAAAAGAATGAAGGTATTCGAACTTCAAAAGTACTCCATCCAGTTGTGGTATCCTAATGCATCTAATACATTTTCTTTTTTCATTTATGTCATTATTACTCTTTTATAGTTTCCCATTTATATGTAAGAGTGTATTTGGAAAAAAAATTGCATTTGCTACATATTAATTGCTTTTAACTGTTTTTTTAAACAATATAATTTAGTTAAAAGAATCTTATAATAAGGAACAAAGAGAGTAGAAATAAGCAAGCTGAACATTTTGTTTTTTTTTTTTTTTCCAGTTGAGCTTGAAAGGTCATTTAGGCCTAGTTAACGTTTTTATTCCAATGACGTTAACCAAAGTGGCTTGAATTAAGTCACAAGCTCTGTTTGGATCAGCGATTAGAAAAGCTGCTTATCGAAAAAGTAATTTATGAATAAGTGAAGTCAGGTAAAAGCTAAATTGAATAAACTTAATTGTATTTGGATTGGAGTTCAAAAAAGCTAGTTTGCAAATATGAGATTGGCAAAAAGTTGTTTCGATTATAGTTGAATAAAAGTAAGTTTGGTTGTAAAATGACCAAAATGGATATGAGTTTTAATAAATAATGAAAAATGATTAAAAAAATGATTTCACATAATACAATGGAATTAAAATAATTTAATATGAAGAAGTGAATTAAATTTTAAAATTTTAGAGAAATCATAAAAAATATTTTAAATACAAAGTGAAAGATGGAAAAAAAAATGAATTGAGATAATATAATGAAGAAGTAAAATTTAATGAGTGAATTTAAATTAAAAAATTTAGAGAAATAATAAGAAATATTTAAAATATGAAGTGAAACATGATAAAAAAAATGAATTGGCATAATACAATAAATTTAAATTAATTTAATATGAAAAAGTGTAATTGATTGAGTGAATTAAATTTGAAAGCATCAAAGACATGAAAAAAAAATATTGCTAATATAAAGCTAAACATAATTTGAATGGATAAAAATGTTTTGAACTCCAATTGGCAGTATTGCGACAAAGTGAAACGAAATAATATTACATAATTAATTAATTGATAATCTATGGATAATTTGGTCTCTGATTGCATCACGGACGTGATTCATATGCGATGAAGACTGTGATGTAACATTTGAAGATGATGACTGACTACCTTCAGCCTGATCATGTTTGCCAATTATATTACCTTTTTCAACTTGTTCAAAAAAAAAGTCGGAGCTTGAATGTCTCCTTATAAGGTTAAGAATGGTCATTGTTGCACAAACCATATACACTTGTGTTTGGAAGTCGTAACTACGCATGTTTCGTAAGATTTGAAATCTATTCTTCCAAATACCGAATGTTCTTTCTATTGTACACCTTAAACTGGGATGATAATAATTGAAGGCTTTGTTACTATTTCGGAATCCTACTTGTCGTCGGAAGTCCAGAAGGTGATAGTGTTCAAATCTGTATGGACCTAGCTAGATATCCCTTTGGTGTTGGATATCCCACATCAACCAAGTAATATTTCCCTAATAATTCATGAAACAATTTAAGAGATTGTGAAATGAATAAAAATATGAAATAATTAAAAAAAACATGCGTGATTGGAACATAGAAACATATACCTAGGGGTGGATGAGGGAAATTAAGAGATGAATTTGTAATAACACTATCAAATATACGAGCATCATGTGCAGATCCCTCCCATCTTGCCAAGACAAAAGTGAAACACATATCCCAATCACATATAGCCATGACATTTTTTAATGGATTTCCCTTTCTGTCAATAAATTTGTCTCGTTTTGCAACGGGGACAACACACTGTATATGAGTGCCATCAATTATTTCGATTGCATCCTTAAAAAATGGATAATAACGTGGATTGTTCTCAATTTTTCTGAGTTCCATGAAATGTAGGACCTATGGGTCAAATAAATTCACTCGATAGGCTAAGGCAAGCTTGCAGTACATTGTGAAAGTGCCTACTTACAGTTTCCCCTGAACGTTGAAACCATTCCTGGATCATCCTATTGCATTGTCCATATGCAACCGTGTTTAAAAACATCGCGACCATTTCTTCAATTCCTATATACTTAGACTTTTTTGAACCATGTTCCTCTAATTTAGTACATAAGAGGTGGAAAACATGTTTATCCACTCTAAACATTTTGGGACATCGATCATCATGCTTCTCCATAATGCCTTGTGCCCATAAGTTTCTTGTTAGCTCACTAGTTTTGCAGGGTTGTTTAAACATATATATTTCACAATATAATAATGACCAACCAATGCACCTACTGCTTCATATTGTGTTAATTCTTCATTAATCATGGATAACTATGTTGAATGGTCATCTTCATTCTACCATGAATCGTTATTCCAATTCCGCAAAGTATCTTCATTTCATGATGAATCATCATTCCAATTATATTAGCCATTTCTGGAATTAACCCTGTAACTGTGATGACAACAAAGTGTGAACATTATAGTTACCAAACTAAACAAAGTGTAAATAATTTTCATACTACAAACAGAAAAGCAAACACATAGATGACAAGTAGAAATTAGAGTCAATATATTACTTAGTCATTAATAAAGTTTCTACAACAGGCCACATCAGTTTAGGTTAAAACAACAATCAATTCAAGTTAACAAGTACAATAACAACAATGAAACAATTAAGTCCTAAACTAAATTCTATTCTGCAGGTCCTTTCCATGTGTCTGGGTCTTGTGCTGCCGGTATCAACCACCCCCAACAACTTGCATCTATCATGCATAAACTCCAAATAGACTCGCCTAGCCCATCTCAACCGCGTAAGCATCTTGGCACATGCATAATATAGTTGAGGGTCATCATTAAGCTCCTCAAGCAAGTTGCGATATGTTTCATGGCATCAATATCCTTTCACTTCTTTACCGTCGGGTTTTCAATCTGACACACTTGTTCAACTGATTATGCCTGAAAGCCGCATGACAGAACTATGGAAGGGCAGAATGGTATGTTCATGTTCTTCTTTTAGCTCGTAAATATTTAAATTACTAGAAATTATTCAATCAAACTCCTAAACAAATATAGATACCTTTTACCCGTTGTTAAATACCCCCCAAGTGTCTTGTTTTAATACAAAAAGTACTATATATTCTCCATTCATAGTGCTCCCTACTTTGAGAAAACTGAATCTAAATGGCAACGCATATATGCATATAAGAAGAAATGTTATAGTTTTCCGTAGAAACATTTAAACACTCAACGCATATATGCATAGATGATACAAATAAAAATATACAATTTCTTCATATATATATATATATATCAAATAGACATCACATATATATTTCATTAGTTTATATGAATATTTTTTTATTGCTAATAAACAAGCCATTTCTATTTATTTGTTCAGATATTTCCTTCTCTACTTCGTGCAGAACGCGCCATAATGTTGAGCGTTAGGGTAATTCCTAAAACCAATGAAAGAAGGAGGGTTAAAGTATTTCATAGAAAACCTCACACACCTAAACGCACTTAATATATACTATTGGTCCTTAATATAATAGCTAGTTGAATATTCAATTTGGTATTAAATATAAGACTTCTAATCTACTTTATCTCTAATATTTTCCTTTCTTTCAAGCAATACTTATAGTCATCACATATGTTATAGAGCTACTATCAAGATATAATTCAAATGCACATAATTAATAAGTGTATTTTGGAAAAAACAATATATATATTTATTAAAAATAACTAACTTAACTAATTTTCTTAATATTTATAAATTAGTTATATAACTCTTCTATACTAAGTACTGTAATATATGCATGCGTGAATAAAAATAAAAACACACGTTAAATAGAAATCATATATATCTTGTTAGTTGATATAAATATTTTGATTAGTGTTCTGAGACAAAGTCATTTCGATTTACTTGTGAAAACATTTCCGTTTCTGCTTCGCGCAGCATATCCGAGAATAATGTTGAGAGGGTGGCTGCTCCCTGAAAATGATATAAGAAGAAATGTAAAAGTATGTCATAGAAAGCTTTACACAAACACTTAACATATACACGCACGATAAAAATAAAAATATATAATTTCTTTATGCATAAATATCTATATTTTTTGTTTTACTAGTTTATATAAATATTTTGATTATCGCTTATAAACCAGTCATTTCTATTTACCTTTTCAGATATTTCTTTTCCTGCTTGTTGCAGCGCATGCTTTAATGTTGAGAGTGAGGGTAATCCCTAAAATCAATGAAAGGAGGAAGGTTAAAATATTTCACAGAAGACGTCACATTAGTTCCCAAACACTTGACACATATACATACATGAATAAAAATAAAACTATATGATTTCTCAATATATATATGCACACATATTAAATAAAAATCATATATATTTTACTAGTCGATATAAGTATTTTGATTATTGTTCATCATATCAACAAGCCGTTTCCATTTACTTGTGTAAGAATTTTCATTTTTGCTGGGCGCAGCATATCTGAGAATCTTTACACAAGAACACTTAACACACACAAACACACACATGATTAAAAAAAAAAATTTCTACACACACGCAGACACATATCAAACAGACATCATATATGTTTTATTAGTTTATATAATTATTTTGAATATTGATGATAAGCGAGTCATTTCTATTAACTTGTTTAGATATTTCCTTCTCTACTTCGTGCAGCACGCTCCATAATTTTAAGGGTGAGGATGATTCCTGAAAGCGAAGAAAAAAGGAAGATTAAAGTTTTGCATAGAACCTTACACACACAAATACTTAACACACACACACACATGATTTCTTACTTTAAATATATCAAATATAAATCATACATATCAAATATATTAAATGGACGTCATTTATGTTTTATTAGTTTACATTATTGCTTATAAACGAATATTTCTATTTACTTGTTCAGATATTTTCTTGTCCAGCACATGCCATAATGTTAAAAGTCAGGGTGATTCCTGAAAACAA